CCCAAGCATAAATGGTCAACTAATATAAAATAAAGGAGCCATAGCTATACAATTGGGAAATGACAGCCTCTTCAACAGCTGGTGTTGGCAAAACTGGACAGCTACATGCAAGAGAATGAAACTGGATTATTGTCTAACCCCATACACAAAAGTAAACTCAAAATGGATCAAAGTCCTGAATGTAAATAATCAAACCATAAAACTCTTCGAAGAAAACAAAGGCAAAAATCTCTTGAGAATAAACATGAGTAACTTTTTCCTGAATGCATCTCCTCAAGCAAGGGAAACAAAATGAAAAATGAAGAAATGGGTCAATATTATGCTAAAAAGTTTCTGTACAGCAAAGGACACCATTAGAAGAACAAAAAAGCAACCTACAGTATAGGAGAATATATTTGTAAATGACATATCCAACAAGGGGTTAATATCTAAAATACATAAAGAACTCACATGCCTCAACAACCAGAAAGCAAATAATCCAATTAAAAAACGGGCAGAAGATCTGAACAGACACTTCTCCAAAGAAGAAACTCAGATAGCCTACAGGCACATGAAAAGATGCTCCACATTGGTAATTATCAGGGAAATGCAAATTAAAACCATGAGATATCACCTCACACCAGTTAGGAGGGGGAACATAGAAAAGACTGGTAACAACAAATGGTTGCAACAATTCGGAGAAAGGTGAAACCTCCTACACTGCTGGTGGGAATGTAAACTAGTTCAACCATTGTGGAAAGCAATATGGAGGTTCCTCAAAAAACTAAATATAGTATTACCATTTGACACAGAAATTCCACTCCTAGGAATTTACTCAAGGAAAACAACTTCTCAGATTCAAAAAGACATATGCACCCCTATGTTTATCATAGCACTATTTACAGCAGCCAAGATATAAAAGCAACCTAAGTGTCCATCAGTAGATGAATGGATAAAGAAGATGTGGTACATATACACAATGGAATACTATTCAGCCAAAAGAAAGAAAATCCTACCATTTACAATGACATGGATGGAGCTAGAGGGTATTATACTCAGTGAAATAAGTCAGGCAGTGAAAGACAAATACCAAATGATTTCCCTCATTTGTGGAGTATAACATTGAAGCAAAACTGAAGGAACAAAATAGCAGAAGACTCACAGACTCAAAGAAGGGACTAGTGGTTATTCAAAGGGGAGGGGTGGGCGAGGGTGGGTGGGGAGGAAGGGAGAAGGGGATCATCGGGTATCATGATTGGTACACATGGTGTGTGTGGGGTCACGGGGAAGACAGTGTAGCACAGACAAGACAAATAGGGACTCTGTGGCATCTTACTACACTGAATAACAGTGACTGCAATTAGGTATGGTGGGGGGACTGAATAGTAAGAGTGAATGTAATAACCACATTGTTTTTCTTGTGAAGCCTTCATAATAGTGTATATCAAAGATACCTTAATAAAAAAGAAAAAAAACTCTTTCGACACATTCCTTATTCATAATTGTGTCAAATGTTTTTTTTACCTTTTTCCATCTTCATGAAACAAAGCATATTCCTATACCCTACCATACCCCAATGTTAGTATTTCAAGTATTCTTTAGGGACACATAATTCTTTTCAGTATGCTTTCAGAGAAATAACAAAATTATGAGAGACAGCTTCAAGGGAAGCATAATTGCATTTGCCCAAGGTAAAACCTTATGCTAGAAAAAACTAAGAATTTTCATAACAGTAGGTAATATATTCAATTAGGAAAGAAAATGATTTTAAAACCAATAATGTGTTCAAGTAAAGTAATTAAGATAAAATAATCTGTGCAGGATTAATAATGTATTTGGTTTTTAAAGTCAAATTTTAGTAACCATTGGAAAATAAGTGAAGAAGGAAGCCTTATCAAGCACAGAACCTGATTTTTCAGTAGGGAAAAACAGCAAATTAAAACTGCATTTTCGAACAGGAAAGGACAACTGTATTCCCATGTCTTACCCATACTCACAGAGCTGGACAACTGTATTCCCATGTCTTACCCATACCCACAGAGCCGGGGGTCTCTCTCATCACCCGGTGTTAACCCTCACTCCCACTCCCCATTTTTCAGGATACAAAGTGCAGACCAAACAGGTGCCTGCAATCCCAATCAACTGCCAGATCTGGGACTCAAATATAAGTACAGTTCAACACTCTTTCTTCCAAACATGATGCCAAATATTAAAATTTGCCATGTAAGAAAATATCCTGTATGTCTTCTAGAAATCCAGTCCATGGAAGCTTGGTGCTTAACTGATTTTATCTTCTATATTGTGTCTATGTATGCTATTGTAATAAACACTATAGTTGAGTCTTCAACCATGCAGGTTTGAAATACATAAAACATATAAAATATGTGTTAATCAACTCTTTACGAGTAAGGACTCTGGTGAACAGCAGGCTATTAGTAGTTCAGTTTTTGTGGAGTCAGAAGGTGTACGCAGACTTTCAGCTAGCTGCACAGGGAGGCGGCACCCCTAGACACCACCATTCAAGAATCAACTGTAATTTCAAAATGCTCACAAATACGAAGTTTTTTCTACTTTAATACACAAATACTTCCTATGTTAAATAATCATTTTGCTGATAAAAATACTAATAACCTAATCATGTCTATGCAAGGTAGCTTTTATATTGAATAGAAAGAAGACACGTTAGCTACTTCCTTGTGCTTTTTTCAGACTACATATTTTCAACTTCCAATATGGAAGGTATGCCACAGGCCACCTTGAGCAGAATATACTTTTCATATAAAATAAGAAGCTTTGACTTGTTTTAAAAGGTCTTATATTTATTTTAGTTACAGAGGCACTGACTTCAAAACCAGAAGTATATGTAAAGATCTGTCTCACAGCTATGTCAGCCCAAAACTGCTCTGTTGAACTTTGCTGTGAGATTATCACAGTGACAGTTTAAAAATCATATGCTACAAGAACATCAATTATTTAAAAGCTCAAAAATAAGTGAAAATGGAAAAGTACAGAATAATCTATACATAGTATACTACCTTTCATGTAACAAAGGAAAAAACAAGCATATGTATTTCTATTTATTTGTTTTTGCACAAAGAAACAGGAGGATACATTAATAATTAGTAAGAAAAGTTACCTATACTGGTGGAGATATGAATAATAGGTATGGGCAGTAACAAGCCTTCTCAATATTAACTTTTTAATGATCTTGATTTTGGAACAATATGCTTATTCATTTCAAAAGTTTTAATGTAAAAAAAGAAAGGTGCAAAAACCTTTTGAGCAGTGGCAAGATGTCCACAGTTAACTATGATTTAATTATAATCTACTCAAGGAAAGAGGAACCCATGTATTTTAAGTATTCTGTCTCAGCAGCAGAGGATGAGTTTAGCATGTAAACACTGTGTAATACATATTCAACTAGTCAATTTGAAATTAAGTTTCTAAAGGTTTCAGAAATAAGATTCCACAGCTTGGATTCCACAGTAAGGAATAACTTCCATACCTGGGCAAGTGGGGAGAATGGGGAGAAAGGGAAACAGAAGCCTTTATTTTATGTAAATTCTTCCTATTTCCTTTCCTGCTGGTTACAGTTTAAAAATAAAGGACATAATATTCTTGTGCTTAATCTTCCCCTGAATAAATACTTTAAGTATTTATGACAAGGCGCTGACACTTAATATTATTAAAAATTTTAATAAATTATTAACTCCAAATTCTGTGTAAAGTACTATACTAAAAGCAGCAGTGCAGGAAATGGTTAGTTCTCTCAATAACATAAATACCCAGCAGTTGCAACTAGTATATATCAGATCCATTTTTCACCATATTTCTGGAATGTTTTGGTCACCATTCATTTCCATCCCTGAAACTACCTTCAATATCTGCTATTTCTTATTCATCAAATGCTACTGTGAATCTGCATCAAATCGTAAAGAAATGAGAATTGCTGCTCTATTAAAAAAAAAGTTTACTGGGCCATAAAATAGTTACAAGGTCAAACAGGAGTCAAAAACAACAAGAATCCTTCTCAGGTTACAGTTAATAATGTCCAAATCCAAAGGCTTAAAGTTTCTTAATATAGAACTTAATTATTATAGCAGCGATTTTCAGGTATGATACTGTGTTCCCCAGAAATCAGTCATTGTCTCAAGGCATGCTGCAGACACTTGTTCAAAAATGTAAATATTTTATTTCACTGACTCATTTATCTAGTGAAATGTAAACGTTTATGGGGATTAGTAGTGTGAAAGGACAGTAATATCAGGAGTGACCAGAATGAAGTAACCCACTTCAAGGATAAGAGAAGACTGCCAAGTTTAGACCAACAGAGAACATGTTTATAAAGAAGTTCTACCTCTTACAAATGTTTGATTTTCTTTTAATATAACAGGTATAATCATATATCCTTTATTAAGTAATTGCTCTGGAAAGAAAGTTAACTACTGCATTGAAGCTGGAAACAACACTCATGTCACTCCAGTGGGTGTGTGGCAAGATAAACTGCAGTACCTCCATACATGAACTACTGCTCAGTAACAGAATGAAGCACTGGATTCACCAACTTGGATGAATCTGCAGAGAAAAAAAGCCAACCCCAAAAGGCTACACACTATATATTTCCATTTATATAACATTCCTGAAATGGCAAAAAATTACAAAAACAGAGCACGTGAGATCTCTCTGTATTACTTCTTACAACCACATGTGTAACTATAATTATCTCAAAATAAAAACCTTAATTAAAAAGAATCACTAGTATTATTTGGGTTACCTCAACTACAAGCAGATTTAAGTAACATTCTAAGAAATTGGTAGTATACAAAGACTCCAAAAGCAGAACAAAAAAAAAAACGGAATAGATGAAATGATGAAATAGCCACAGAAAAACAAGTGTTAGAGAAAGCAATAAAGAAAGTAATTTGGTTATTAATGAGTATCAAATTACCTACATATCTAAATTAGATATATTTAGGGACATATAAATTTCACTTGGTATTAATTCAAGATGGAAAACTTACCCGATGCTTTGCCTTAATTTTCTTCCTATATTCTTCTTTGTCAAATTTGTCCTCTTCTTGAAGCCTTTCTTTTGCTTTATCTAAGTTGATACCACCAGTGTCGTCCTCTTCCTCAGTATCCTTTGAGACAAATTTCTGCATTTGTGGCCACTGCTGAACTAACTACAGACAGAAAAAATTAAGCATGGGGGGGGAGACAGGAATTATCAACAGAAAATCATTTCCCTTTATAAAAAGAATTGGAAATGGTGCAAAATAGGCACTCTCTACTTTACATCTGTTTTTCCTAAACTTTTTAACAAACTATAATTTAAGTTTGTGAGCAAGCCTGTGCACAGAACTTCTGAGCAAGCCACAGAAAAGACTACCTCATGTATCAGGATAAAGTAATGCTGCCATAATCCAATGAAATTAGGATTAAAGGAAAATTTCATAAAATAATTTGGAGGAAAAGGTAGTTGCCTCACCATCTCAGTGTTAAGTATGCTGCACTCCACCAAGCTGGCTCCACATGACCAGCACAGGGCAGCAAGCATCACCAAGGGGCAGCCACAGCAGCAGCCACAGCGCCTTACGTGCGCCTCCAACGTTCTCTCACTGTGTTGTTTTACTCTCCGGCTTTCTTACTAGAATTAGTCTCCTTGAAAGCAGTTGCCTATCTTATTCATATATCTTCAGAGACCAACACAGAATCTGACACATAACAGATCACATATCAGCCAGGACTATACATAAAAATTAAAATAACTAAAGGAGAAAAAGAGTGGATTTTACAGGCTTGCTCAAATCTACAAAATCAAATTTTGCCCATACCATTTATGGTTAGGAGCAAGGTAACACAGAAATCAGGGCACTGATCTGGGAGTCAAGGGGCCTGGCTTAGCATCTAGCTTTCACTAGCCCACTGCATAATCCTGAATAAATTACTTATCTCTAGGCATCTGTGTCCTTATCTGCAAAATAAAAGGTTGGCTTGACTCAATACCTTCCAGGTTTAACACTGTAAAACTCAAAAGACAATTTATACAAAACCCATTCTCTTCTTTTATCTAAGAATTGGTTGCCGGAAGGATTTAAGTAGCTGCCACTGTTTTGAAAGACCACTAATTAATGTGCAGGCAAAATGAAGTTGTAGGCACACACATCTCAGGTATTAATGCCTCCCCTCACTTCTATTGCCCACACAGCCATTCTTCAAGAAGAGATGTTTACAGAGTCTCCACTTTGGGCAACAAAGGCGGGTCACAAATGTCACTGCAGAGCGGCCATGCTGGCAGGTCACTGCACTGATCAGTTGTAATGGTAAGAATGCCATCCAATGCCCTGACCCCTCACTTCTTTTTCATTCACAGTGAAAAATGTTCATTCCTCTGTCAGCTGAACAAATAGTAGCATATCTCTCAGAATTTTAGATCAGATGTTCTAGTGCAGCTCAGACATAGAGAGCTGCTATCAGCAATAAGTTTACATTGAAACATTTTATAGTTAAGAATTTACACTCATCTTGAAGATAATTGTTATAATCTGTGCAGTTAAACTTGGTAGCATAATAAGGAACCTCTTTATGCTAATAGCATTGATCTTATTTTACAACAAGCATCTCATGCAATACAACTATGTTCTAGTTTAACCTGCTTTACAGGGGCTGACCTCTTTTTAATAATTGCAGCAGAGGTTCACAACTCATCGATTGCATAGGCTTCCTCTGCAAAATCCAACAACTTTGAATTGTACTCTGTTTTGTTAGTTTTCCTAAGATTTATGCACCATTTTACTCCATATTATTAGTGCAAATCTGGGCTTCTGAAGCAAAGTTCCCTTCCTCAAAGTAACACCCAAATCTTTGTTAACTTCAAAATTTAAAGAAAACATATTCCATTGGCTATAGACTGCTTAGGCACATTTACGTATAATTTAATATTAATGATGATGAAATATCTGATGTGATACATGACAGCTGGAATAAAATGCTGTTATTCAGATATTAGAAAATGATTCATTCAAACTTTTTCTAGGGTTTATTATATGTTAGGCACTGTTCTAAGTGCTGGGGACAGGATAATGAGCAAAGCCAACAAATACCTTCCCTCATCTAGCTTCCCTCATTCCACTGGAGTGGAAAAAATGACAGAATAAACACAGAATATACAGTCACATAATAGCACCATGAGGAAAAAAAATGAGAGGGCAGGGCAAATGAGATTATGGTGGGCATGAGGTGCTGTGTGCTACATTAGAATGAAAAGGGAAACCTACAGGTAGGTGAGTATAAAGCCAAGACACAATACTCGGAAGACCCTGCTGTGACCATTAACTAGCCATTACTCCTGAGGTAAGATACTTGACTGTCTAGATCTTTTTCCTCTTTAAAAAGATTAATATTACGTTACAGAGTGACCTTTCATGAACAGCCTGTGAGTGGTTACCCCTTTTCTCAGTCTATGGGTATGAAATACACCAGGACCATGGTAATGGTAAGATGAAAACTGGGCACTGTATGTGAGATTACTTTAATCAGAGACTTATTTGAACAGCAGAGAATTCCCTCTTATTGGAAGCCCAGTAAGAAACATGCCAATACAGCATCTCAAATTGAGGACCTGCAAAGCAGAGACTTATCAGAGTCCAGGAAAACAGGCTGCAGCAAGCAGCTGTGTTACTATTCTTGCACTGTTCCTGTAGAACATGTTGATGGATATCATGACAAGAAAATCTAATCTATAAAATGGAATTTAGAAGTTCAAAACTAAGTCTGTATCATTATCAAGAAGTAGCTCATTTTATTGTCAGAAAGGCATTCTTGCCTACAGATGTGTAGTCGATGAAATGCCTATAGTAACAATGAAAGGAATTGCCTAGCATGCTTTAGAGAATCATCTTTTTTTCTCATTAATGAGTGGTAAGTCAACAGGAGAATCACACTCTTTATAATACTTGGAATGTACATCAGAAATGAAGCATTTAACCATCTTACCTCCCCTTCATCAGTAAAGGTTATTTTCTTATTCGCTTTAAAATTTCTCTTCATTACTTTTTTTGCTTCTGCAACCTTGGTCACTTTTTTCTTGACAATGGATTTAGAAGGTTCTTTCTTCTGTGTGAAAATACACAAAAAATAGACATGATTAGGTAAATGGCTGCTTTGTATTACCAATTTACCTCAGGCAATATATGCCCCAAAACCAAGTACATTTACTGCTCATTGGCTAATGAGAAGTGCCAAAAATATGGTCCAGAAATATAATTATTAAACTTATTAACTAATGACCCTGAAGGTTAAAGCACCAGAAACTACATGAAAATGTACAAGATAAAGCTACAATCCAGCTAAAAAAATCGAGCACATTTTTTAAATAGCTCTAATTTACGGTGCAAACTTAAAGCTTTATATGAGAAAAATGTTTGGCTGAAAAACAGAATGACTGCAATACACTGTGACTCAACATGCCCACCATTTCAGGGTAATCTAGTGTATATAAACACTGGAAAACATACTATAATAACTAAACTGTCTCCAAAGGTGAGACTGAGTGGAACTACTTCATGATACACTGATCAGCACCGACGTAATGTCCTAAAACAACTATGGCAAGGTAGAAACAGTACAGAGCAACTGCTTGTCTATGCTCAGTGAATGCTGAGTGAACCGTCTAAGATGGGCAGTTGCAGAGAGCATGCCACAGCCTGCTTTGATGAGAGTGACAAGAAATAACTGACCTGTGAGAAGGATTTGGATCATTTCCCTCAAATGAGAGCCAAACTGCCATTGTAGTCCTTAGTAAACTAATCTAAGGCAGCCTTCATTAGATGAGTAGACAGGAGGAGTACAGTCTTTGGTGCAATAGTTAAGAAAATGATTTGGATTGAAGCTCTACCACTTACAAGCTGTGTAAGAGCAAGAGCTTTCCTTGTAAATTGAGAATAACAGTATCTATCTGATAGGGTTGTGGGAAGAGTTTAGTAACAAATGTAACACATACAAAGTATGTGTTCCATACGTCTCAAATACCACTACTATATATTGATTTCATGTTGCCTAAGAGATCAGGCTAACTGCACAGAAGTTTGATTTGCAAAATCCCAGACTTTGAGCTTTTCAGTTGATTTTTTTTTAACTTGGCACCATAGGAAACCACTAGGGATAAAAAAGGAGGGCCTGATCTAGGAAACCAGAATTATCAGAAGCCTTGAGAAGATATACATTAGTTATAATTGTTACATTGTGGTAATATGCAGAAAAAGAATGGTTCATTTCACAAGTATTGCTGATATTACTGATACTGTGAATGATTATTGTATTGTAGTATTATTGACAACAAATACAAAAATGTTTAAATATAAAATACCGTACAATCAATAACACTAAAATAGAGGTTTGTAATAAGTTATCAGGAAATTACACTTTTAGATAATGATAATCATTATTATGAAAAGCAGCTAGCATATCTGCAATCTTATGATTTAAGTACAAGAAACTTATTCTGACACCAATGGCCTATTATGTGGGTATTACTAACACTGTTTTTGTGTTTCTTAGTACATGCAAACTATAATGCCTAATTATACTTTTTCTCAGACCACAAATGAATCCATACTTAAGAACCGACCAGGATTTTAAATCCATAAAATGTTTATGAAAATGACTGATCTCCTCTGAGGTAACTAATTCCTATTACATCAGAAAGACACATCAATATGCTATCATCACCATACCTACAGTTCACAAGATTCCTATGAAAAGAGATTGAGTTTGCTTTATAGATTTTTTCTTCCCATGGGACACCCCATTTCCTCCATCCTTCAGGGGTAAAAGAGTGTCCATGACTGCATGAATGTTACCATCTGGTGCCGCAACAAGTCCCTAAATTTCTTACCCATTCCTTACCTCTCCACTACTGTGTTCTAAGACACATGGCTATTATTCTCCCACAGGAAAGATTACAATATTCATTTCCTTATCTCACTTCCAAGAGCAATTGTGTAAGATGTGTGGTGGTAAAACTTCTAACATTGAAAGGGAATAAGGTAGCAGGAAGCTTATCAACCAAAATGAGCTGCCACCTACAGAAAACCTTATAAACACAGGGCATCTATAAGACCCCCACTTCCTTCTGCTCAGTCATTACTCCTACACCTCCTTTCTCCCTGCCCAAACACCTATCAAACAACACCACCTACGCAAGCACAAGGCTGGCAAGTATTTTACTGATGCACACTGGATCTTCTTGGTTTCATGGTTAGGCAAATTCTTAAGAATCCCAAGTTGGCTGATATTCTGTCATCAGACCTCAGCTAGTGATAGAATACTGATCAAACAGTATAAACTGAGAGGAGCATTATGATGTAAAAATAACAAACAGAAGTAAGTTATAATCACTTAAATAAAAACACAAAGGATAGTGGGGAACAAGAGCAAACCTTCTGGGGTGAGAGTAATGTTCTCTATCTCAACAGAACTTAAGAATTTCACAGGTGTATGCATCTGTCAAAACTAATCAAACGCTGCATGTAAGATTGGTGAATTTCACTGTATATAAATTTCTGCCTCAAAAGAATCCTATAAAGAAACACTGAACTTTATTTAATACCAGGGAAGCTGACATATATGGGAGAAAAGTGTAATGGTGGGAACTTACTCTGAAATACACTAAATAAAAAGGATGATGGGTAGATAGATGGCAAATTACATGATAAAGGAAATATGGTCCAAGGTTAATTGTAGAATATGAGCAGTAGGTATTCTGGTGTCCAAAATCACAGTTTTCTCAACTTTAATGTGTGTTCGTAATATATGTAAATTTTACATAATAGTTATGTAAATACATGTAATTTTTTCTAATAAAACACAAAAGATTAGTCCCAGTAACAAGAGAAAAAGTCACAAAACAAAGACACCAAAAACTGTAGAATAAAGGTAAGTGGGAAACAATCCTGCAGAGTGGACACCTGGAGAGATGCGGGTCTACAACAAGAGCTGCAGGGAGATCCACGAAATCACTGAAATCATGTAACAACATTTGCCAGTATTTCCACCTTTGCATTTCATGGTTTATCATGGTTTCTAATAGGGATCTGTGATTTCCCCTTTAAAAAAGGTAAATTTTTCATTTATTTTAGGGAGGCCAATATGGCTGAGAAGACACAAGCTTGTATTTTTCCAAGAGGCTGGGGTTTTGCTCTGATAATCTCGAATTATTCTTCACACATTCAAATACGCACTGAGTGTCATCCAAACACAAGACATCCTGGTACATACTGGGGGCCCCGGCAACGAAAGAGAAAGGCGGACCCCCAACCCTCAGTGAGCCTGACTAACATAAGGGGGTCAAACACAAAACATTAAGCCTGTGGAAAATATCAACTATTTAATAACAAATGTATTAAGTGCTCTGAAAAAATACACAGGACGAATGAATCTAGGTGGCAGGGGGCCTCCCCTAGCTAGTTGAGAGTGAGGAGAGGAAGTTAAAGAAAACTTCCTTTGGCAGGAAAGATGTTTGAACACCAAATGCTGCTGCATTACTGGCACATGAGTGATGAACAAATACCGCCAGTGTGTCCACTGATGGCACATGTCTTACAAGAGATTAGTTCACTGTTATTCTTTTGAATATTAATTTTAGCAGGTAAGACCTGTGCATCTATTTATAAAGGATATTCAGTTAAAAAGCTGCCATTTCTGTCTTCTTCAGCCACCTCAGTCTAACTCCAAATAAATAAGCACTGTTACTAGCTTTTTCTATATATTTCCAGATGCATTCTACCCACATTCAAGTTTATATGAAGAACACCAAGCTACTAAAAGTGCTATCCCAGCAATGAACTGCTTTGTAAATACACTCTCATATACATGTGCATTTATATATCTAGGATAAATTTCTAACTTAAAGCACTCAATGGAAGTATTCCTAAGGCTTAACAGCTGTCACAGGAGGTAAAAAAAAACACAGTAAAGAAAGTAGAACAGCTAACTACTAAGCAAATGCAAATTTAAATTAACTATCCCCAAAGTCAATCAAGGGACAGACAAAGAGTACAGAATATGATACTGAGTATAGAAAGAATGGACAAGGAAGAAAAAGGAGGGGGAAAAAAAATCTTTAGACTGTGTTTATAATACCATACTAAGTGAGTTAAGTTAGACTCTTAGATACTAAGGAACATAACCTTGAACCTTTGGTAACCACGAATCTAAAGCCTGCAATGGCAGTAAGTACATACCTATCCATAATCACCCTAAATGTAAATGGACTAAATGCACCAATCAAAAGACAAGAGTACTTAATTGATAAAAAACAAGACCAATATATATGCTGCCTACAAGAGACTCACTTTAAACACAAAGACATACACAGACTAAAAGTGAAGGGATGGAAAAAGATACTTCATGTACCTAACAGGGAGAAAAAAGCAGGAGTTCAGTACTTGTATCAGACAAAACAAGATTTCAAAACAAGGAAAGTCACAGAAGACAAAGAAGGACATTACATAATGATTAAGAGGTCATTCCAACATGAAGATATAACCATTATAAATATCTACACGCTCAACACATGAGCACCTACATATGTGAAACAAATACTAACAGAATTAAAAGGGGAAATAGAATGCAATGAATTCATTTTAGGAGACTTCAAGACACCACTCACTCCTAAGGACAGATCCACCAGACAGAAAATAAGTAAGGACACACAGGCACTGAACAACACACTAGAACACATGGACCAAATAGACATCTACGGACTCTACCCCCAAAAGCAGTAGGATATACATTCTTCTCAAGTGCACATGGAACATTTTCCATAATAGACCACATACTAGGCCACAAAAAGAGACTCAGTAAATTCAAAAAGACTGAAATTCTACCAACCAACTTCTCGGACCACAGAGATAAAGCTACAAATAAATTGTACAAAGAAAGCAAAAAGGCTTACGAACACATGGAGGCTTAACAATATGCTCCTAAATAATCAATGGATCAATGACTAAATTAAATTTAAATTAGAAATCAAGCAATATATGGAGACAAATGACAACAACAATACAAAGCCCCAACTTCTGTGGGATGCAGCGAAAGCAGTTCTAAGAGGAAAG